CACTGCCCCTCCTCTGGCACAGCCCCTTCGTGGGGTGTCCTTGGGAGCCACTGCAGAAACTTAATCTTTTCCTTCTGTGCAAGGATAGCAGATAATCCTTAATAATCCAGCAAGAGTGTGCTCAGAGTGAATGCTTTGAATTCCTGAGAGTGAAAATCTTCATCCTGAGGATCTGCACTGTTTAATGTTGGGGGTGCTGGCTGGGGGTGCCTTGGGGACAATTATTGTCACCCTGAATTATGGCACCCATTTGTAAACACCCACAGCCTGCCAGGCCTCCTCTTTATTCTTCCCTGCAGCTCTGCTGCTTCCTGTAGGACGAATTGATCTCAATTAGCTTTGAAGTAAAGTAAAAGGTATTGATGGACTTCAATCCAGCTTTGTTTCTGCAAGTGAAGAAGATTCCTTCACTTTGGTTTTTGTGTGAATGCTAAATTTAAAGTCAATACATCCCTAACTGGGAATTAAACAATGAAACAACTGGGAATTAAAGAGTTGTAAACAATCCTAGTTACTATTTATTTGATTTTAGTCAAACCAAGATTACCTGGCTTTTATTCTGCTAGGAAATTCAGTGATATTATGTTGCTAGATGATAAAAATTTTATGTGGGAATTTCATGAGTTTATCTGCTTGTAAGCTGAAGTCAAAATAAAAATTAATGAAAGCAGTATCTTGTTCACTGGTGAAATCCAACTCATTTCTGCAGGACACACAAGGCAGAAACATTGATAAAACATGTCTAACAGTGCTAAACAAGGGAAATCTCAACTTGTAGAACCACTTGGCCAGGTTTTTGTAGGTATGGAAGCGCTGAAGGGATTTTCAAACACGTTTAAGGAGCTGTCTGCCAAAGCATCAGGCTTTATCCTTCAGTGAACACTGTGCTGGTTCTGTGTGGCTGCCTGTCTCTCTAAAAGTGTGATCTTATGTACATTTTATTATTATGATTTTTTTTTAAATTCAGGAGCTCTAAGAGGGAGTGAAAATTATGTGTCAGCTTGGCTTATTTGGTCATGCATTTACTATTTCTTTTCACCCAGCTTCCATTACTGCCAAATATTTGTCATAAGAATTTCTCAGGTTCTCTGAGCTACCCAATACACTTGAGGCCAAAACATTTTGCTAGATTTGTTTCAATAGAGCAAGGCAACAAACGAGTCAAAATGCTTACAACTTCTATGCTTTCCTGTATTTTTGAAATGAATTTGTTATGCATTAATATCTGCAGGTTTTAGGTAAGAAAGGGAATTAATGCTCAGTTTCTAGTTCTGCTTGCTCCTGACTGCAGTATTTTGTAAGAGGCTGTCCTCAGAGCTTTCCCAAGTGTTTATCTGCACTATCCCTTTGTAAGCATGAAATGTTCAATAAAATATGAAATGTTGGCTCATTTTCTAATCCTCCTGAACCAGTGCTTCCTGCTTGGACATGAGGTGAGGTCACTGTGCCCCCAGGAGGGGACAGTGGGTGACATTGGCCATGTCCTCCCAGACTGTGGCCAGCATGTGAACCTAAGGCTGACACCTGAGAAAAAGATATTAAGAGATGTTAAAAGAAATGAGATAACTTCACTTTGGCTTTCCCAAGTGGCCATGGACGCCTTGAATTAACCCCCTGCCCCTGGAGCCTGCATTTGGCTGCACAGGAGCCACCCTTTGTCCCAAGGTCAGAATTTGTGTTGTTGGTGTTGCTGCCCCTAAACCCCTAAAGGCCCTTTTCACTTCAGGGTTTTGTTTTACACTGGTACTGTTTTTGTTTTATTCTGTGCTTTCAAACGTGTATTTTGTCCTCTTAAGCTGTTTCTGAAGGTGCCCTTGGGTCACTGTGTTGGTTGAGACTTGAGTTCAGGAGTTTGGCTGTGCTGAGGGCAGCGTTGCTATCACCCTGATTTTTTAAGATTTTCTAAGCTTTCTGATGTTGACATTCTTGTAGTGAACTTTCTAACACACTTTCTGTAAATAACTCATTGTTTTGCATTCTTTTATGGAGGAGGAGAGAGTTGATGGACTGTTGGTTTGTCCAGTGTCATTGGAGAGGTGGCACTGTCACCCTCCAATCCGCTGTCACTTTTGGAAAAATATAAATATTGGAGTCAGAAAATAAACCTCTCTTTTTTCTTTCACCTTGAGAACGGTGGTGAGCTTGTGTTCTTTCATGTCCTATAGTGCCACGTTGCCACAGGCTGTGCCCAGGGCCAGGACCTGCTCCTGGGGCTTTTTCCAGGAATCCAGCAGACCCAGAGGCTGTCACCTGGCTATGAAGGGAATTGATTTCCCTGGAATTTCTTCTCTCTTGGTCACAGCAGCCACTTCCCACAGCTCCTCCAGCAGCAGTGACACCAGGCCAGGAGGAAGGGACACAGCTCTGCTCTCCTCAACCCCAGGGCAGGACACAGTGCCAGATGGGTGTCCCAAATGTCCTTTAAATGTGCTGGAGCATCTGGATGAGTCCCTGCAAACACAACCAGCCGTGGGAGTGGGAATTTGAGGGGAGGGGGATTATCCTGTTCAACAAAACAGCCATGGATTACTTGATGGAGGCTGGCTTCAGCTCCAGGATAATGTGTAATGCTTGCCCAGCTCTTTGAGAACATGGTGTTAAATACACATGGACTAATCCTCACAGGAATGTGTCCTGTGCTGCTCTGCCTTTTCTACTCATTAGCAAAACCGTGGCTCTGGCATGGTGGTTTTTTTTCTCTGATTTATTAATGCTGAGAAGGGGTGATCCCTTACAGGAGCACTGAAACTTTGCAAGGAAAACAACCCTGTGGTGTCCCAGCTCTGAAATGGCTCAGCAGGGCTGGGACTGGGGTCCACAGCATCCAGACCCAGTGGTGGGGGTCAGATGAGCCTCAGCCAGCAAATGTTTGTCCTTCTTCCTTCAGGGTCCCATGGGGTGAGGCTGAGGCTTTTAAAAGGTCACCAGAGGCTGGGGTGGGGTGTGTGTACGACTGGGACAGGGTACAGATTGCAAGTCTGGCTCTGAGGGCTTGAGCCTGTTCTGGGAGCGTGAAAGTTGTGAAGGCAGCAAGGAGTGAGGTTTTATAGGGACTGAAGTTGTTGTGAAACTGGCACCTGGGCTGGCTGTGAATGCTGTGGGCTGCTCAGTAAACAGGCTGGGAAATAGCTGTGATGCTTTTTAAGGAATTCTTTGGAGAGGAACAAGGGATCCATTTCTGTACAGTGACTGTAACTGCCAGAGTAGAATCACAGAATATGCTGAGGGGAAAGGACCCATCAGGATCACTGAGTCCAACTCCTGGCCCTGCACAGGACACCCAGGGAATCTCACCATGTGCTTGAGAGATTGTCCAAGTGAGTTTAGTAACTTTATAATTAATTGCTACATTGTAAGTTTGGCAACCTAAAATTGCCCAAAGTGGCAGTTGTAACTTTGCCAGTTACAATATTTGTGTAGAAGCTGCTCAAATGGCACTTGCAGTCCAAAGGGGAGTGTGTTTAAATCTGTTCCTCCTTGAGTTCTGAGCTGTAAATTGAGAGCACTGGAGAGCTGAGCATCCCTTTTCACAGGAGGGCATAGACACTGCTCTGCAACTTTTCCCTTATAACTTGGCACTTTGAAACCAAGACTTGAGAGCCTTAAAATTGGGAAAAGAAACTAAAAATTTTAAGTGATTTATTTTTGTTAAGGGCGATGGCTTTGGGTTTTTTAATTTGCATCGTGGTCTGGTTCTTTTACCAGGGAGGGTTGGGGTGAGAAAGACGAAGGAAACAACTCCTCCTGTCTCCCCTCACCTTGTCTGTCTCATGTGGGGCTTTGCCATGCCTAAAATGTGTTCTCCACTCATCCCTCAGTGCTGCAAATGCTTTTACAACCACTTTAGTTATCACTTGCTTCTTTCCCTCTGGTGCTTGTTAAGAAAGGCTGAAGACATTGCAGCCAGCGTTGTGTTTGTGCTCAGCACATCGGGCAGGGCTGTGGAGAAAAGGTGTCCTGGCATTTCTGTATCTGGGCTGGGAGGAGCTGTGGCGCTCAGAATGAGGGGAAGTGAAACTAGATCTCATTTCACCAGCATAGGTTAAACAAAATGAACATTCTAGAGTTGGAATCCTCTGTATATGTGCTCACTGGAGATGGCAGGTTGTGCAAGAGGACTTTCTAACGTTCCCCTAGCAGTGCTTCCTTTTTAAGCTGTTTGTTCAGGTTTGTTTTAACAAACTCTTGGTGCTGCATGGACATTTGAAGAGCTCCATGCAACATAAGGTACACTTGGCAGGCTGTTGGCTCATTTAATGCTCTTTTTGGAAGGGCTGTGGCCACGTGCTCCTCACACACAGAGCCACCAGCCTGTGCTCCCGGGGCTCAGGATATGCCTGGATCTGGGGCTGGAGGGATGCTCAGGCTCAGCTGGGAGCTGGGCTTGCCACTTTTACACAGCTTTGAGGTCAATATTTCTGTGTTTTGCTTCATCTCCCCTGAAAACTCAGTTTCCTGGGAAATCTATTTCTCCAGGAGAGCCGCAGGTGGTGCTGTGGGATCAGGCCCTGGAGGTGCTGTGGGATCAATCC